AACCACAAGAACATAACAAGGAATGTATTAAGGAAACAAAGAACTTCTTAAGAAAAACTGAAGTATTCCAAAACCAGAACACCATCCTTGAGGAAGAAAGGAATCGACTCCATAATGGAAACCGACATTCAATACAGACACAATACGATTTTCAACTTAGGAACCAGAAATTAGAAAATACGATTTCTGTCACCTGTAGAAGAGAGAAGATCATCACACTCCTAAATTTGTTGGAAAAGGAATGCTTCGACTTACAACAAGCAAATGAAAATCTGAAGATTGAACGAGATGAACTTATAATAGAAAATAGTTCCCTAACGCTGTAGCTTGAAAGACATCAGAGTGAAATGCAACAAGTAAAAGAAAAAGAAAGCACACTGAAATCTGAACTGGAAACTTACGTTCAATTAATGCAGACACTGGAAGCCAAAAAACTTAATTTTGAAATGACCTTGCAGGAATGTTCTGATAATAAACAGATGCTGCAGAAGGACTTTGAGAAACTCCAATCAGGTAAAGTTTATACAGAAAAGAAACTCATGACTGAACTCAGAAATGCAAAAGCAGATCTTGATCTCTTAAAGTCTAACCTGACCAGTGCAAACAGAGAATACAAAAGGTTATCAACAGCAGTAACAAACATCTCAGAGGAAAATTGGTTACTTAAGAAAGAACTGCAGGAATATAGACCAGACATTTCCAAATATGAAAGTGACATTAGAAAATTGACCAAAGAATGCTTACTCTTAGAAAATCATCTATGGACTACTGAAAATGAGACCTGCATTCCACCATTTGCATAAGGATTATATTTATCTCCAACAACAAGCTACAGCTCTAGTCTAGTCTGTGGGCAAAGGAAACCTGTTACCAGATGCTATGGGACTCATACCTCGCAATGTAACTGTTACTCTGAATATTCCACTAGAGTTTCTACAGAAATTTCTGTTCTAAGTATAAAGACTTGGAATATGATTCACAAGGTATAAGCTTTATTCTGCAGTATCTCGTTAGCTGATTTTCTTTTCAGGCAATTCCTGATAATCTACAGGTCTGTTGCTTCAATTAAATTGTAAAAAACAGTTTTCTTTTGTGAAACACTTACAATTCTGACATCCAGTCCTTTCCATGTTTTTGTTATGTTCTAAAAATAACTGCCTGGTTTTCTGATACTCGGCTGAATTTCACAGATTTACAAAACCAGATCCTTACATAATGTAAGTAGTATAAAGAAATTTAATGAAACTGTGACAGTTTACAAGAGATAGAATTTTCTCCCTGGGATTTCAGAGTCAGAAGGGAATCTTAATGACATTTTAGCTGAACAGCTTAGTATGTGCCACAACATTTCACTGGTTATTTCTGCAAGAAGTCCTAAATTAAGTTTAATTGATGTTTACATATGTTTTAGATGACATCTAATTCTGGTCTACGTTTAATCAACACAAGTTACCCTTTATCTCTTTATACTGTATCTCTCTATACGGTATGTCTAGACACTGACTTAGAAAGCTTATTAGCTAAAACACAAGCTTTAACATTTTTCAGTGTAAACGTATTCAGAGAACATGGTCATAGCTATGAAAGTCATAAAAATTAGCCTCTTGGATATAGTCACTGCACCAATACTCCAATTTTCTCAGCCAAGAGACCATGAGGAGGAAGAATTTCTAAAAAATACTGCATTTAATATTCCGTGAAGTTGAAGCTGCCTGTATGCAGTGTCTCTACAACACTATTAAGACTACTATTTTTTCTAAACTTCTTTTCTTACTCACTCCTTAATAATAAATCCATGAAAGTAAAACCATGTCATTAGTTACTGGTGTTGCCAGGACAGACTTAGAGGTAATTGTTTATCTTCACTCTCCCATTAGTACACCACTAGGTGTACAAACCCCTGGCTAATAAAGGGCATGATCTCTTTGGAAACTATTGCTACGTAAAAGTAATCCATTTCTTCGTATTTCTCCAATAATTCATAAAGACTGATTGCAGCAAATTAACAATTGTTTATCTGGCTTGTAATACAAGACCGTAAATGTAATAGAGTGCGTTTTTACGTGTACATATAGTAGAATGACTGAATGATGGAAAACTACATTAAAGATCTAAGTTTAGTTCTTAATGCTTTTTCCTGTAAAAAAAAGTTTTGAAATACAAAAGGATTTGTGGAGGTTTTTTACTGGAGATGATAGGCAAAAGTATTACACCACAATTTTGCATTGCATGCCCAAAATCAATAAGGACATTAAAATGGTAAATACTTGGGCTATTGAGTAGATGGTCAGGTGTTTAATTGCATTTAATGCTTGCATAAACATGAAGTTGCTTCAGACTGTAACTATTAAATTGTGGTCAGAATCAGTTATAAAGGTAACTGGCTATATCTATACTGTTAGGATGTAGGGAAGCTGTTATCACAAAAGCAATGTAATTAAGTGTCTAAGGTCCTCCTTACCTTAGGTAATTGGGTAACAAAATTTAAGAAAGTTCTAAATTCCACCATCACAGTCAAAGGCACTGCCAAAAAGCCAAGGGACACAATTATCATTTGTATTAAAACAGCATACTGAGGCCCTAGCTAGAATTGGGCGTCAGCTCTTTGGGACCACATATTTTCTGGTGGGGACTTATCAGGAGAAGTTATTGGCTCCCATGATGACCACACAAGGCTAGTCCACATACATGAACATCTTCTCAAACAGGCTGGATTGATTTATTTTTTTTTAAGTTAAGCTCCATACATTTTAATGAGCTTTCAGGATTTCCATTTTGTTAGCCAATGAAAAGATTATTGAAATACAGACGAAATTATAAGAGGAAGAATTGCAAAAAGAGGAGAGACAGAAGAGCACAAAGAAAAACTTCAGAGCAGTCTTCATCAGCTGTACTACATCAGAACAGCAGTTAGAAGGAAGTACAGTACAGTTCAATCTACCTAGGAATGCTATGTCTGCAGACCTCACAAGCAAACAACATGGCAAGTGCTCCTGATACTCTGTATGAAGTTGACACTAAGGTATCTAAGGTCAGCACCGGTACCATTATCTAATACAAGGTATAAACAAAGAAAGAAGGCATTCTGTTATAGGTCTTTGGGTAGAGAAAACATCGACATTCTTGTATAAATTAGTATTTTAAAATATCACTGGGTCCTGTTGATCTCAAGGTAAGGGTTTTTATGCTTCAACACATTCTCGAACACCTGATCAACAATTCTTGGTTTTATTTTTATTTTCACTGATGCCAGGAAATGTGAGATCCAGTCTGGAATTTCTTTAAAAAAAATTAGTATCCTGTGAACAGCAGTAAGGGTACCATTTCATGAATATTCTACAGTGGTATGATAAATCTTTAATTAAAATGAGTAAAGAAATCTTGTCTTCATGTAATAATTTGGATAAATAAATGCTGAGTGTTTTTTTAATTTTTATAAGAAATTACCTTTGATTCACATGAACAAATTTCTTGGACCACATACAAAAACCTGACAAAAAATTATTAAGATGTACGGTGTACATTTAGGATCATGGTTCCATCTGAGCAGAAGCTAGTTTGAAAGACGGATCTGGTTTGTTAGGAACCTTCCATGTACGCAAAGTGAAATTAGGCTGCCCTTGGAGAATATGGCAGTACTTACGGCTGTCAGGAATATGAGGAAGAGCAGTAAATGGAGATGACTCACTTCATAACAGTCTGCTTGTGGTCTGGTTTTGAACAGTGCTTGATATTGGTCATTTTGAGAGCGTCATCAAAACTGAAAATTGTATATTTTTAAGACAGTACTTACACAAAATTATAATTGAAATAAAGTACAAGTTGTAATTCTACTGCACCTGGGTCGGGGCAACCCCCGGTATCAGTACAGGCTAGGGGATGATGTGATTGAGAGCAGCCCTGCGGAGAAGGACTTAGGGGTGCTGGTGGATGACAGGCTAGACATGAGTCAGCAATGTGCACTCGCAGCTCAGAAGGCCAACCGCATCCTGGGCTGCATCAAGAGAAGCGTGGCCAACAGGTCGAGGGAGGTAATTCTGCCCCTCTGCTCTGCTCTTGTGGGACCCCACCTGGAGTATTGCACCCAGCTCTGGAGCCCTCAGCACAGGAAAGACATGGACCTGTTGGAGAAGGTCCAGAGGAGGGCAACGAAAATGATCCGAGGGCTGGAGCACCTCTCCTATGAAGACAAGCTGAGAGAGTTGGGGTTGTTCAGCCTGGAGAAGAGAAGGCTTCGAGGTGACCTCATTGCGGCCTTCCAATACCTGAAGGGGGCCTATATGAGAGAGAGATGAGGACAGACTTTTTAGCAGGGTCTGCTGTGACAGGACAAGGGGTAATGGTTTTAAACTAAAAGAGGGTAGATTTAGACTTGACCTAAGAAAAAAATTTTTTACAATGAGGGTGGTGAAGCACTGGAACAGGTTGGCCAGAGAGGTCGTGGAAGCCCCATCCCTGGAGGCATTCAAGGTCAGGCTGGATGGGGCTCTGAGCAACCTGATCTGGTTGGAGATGTCCCTGCTCACCGCAGGGGGGTTGGACTAGATGACCTCTAAAGGTCCCTTCCAGCCCAAATGATTCTATGATTATATGATTAAAGGGAAACAACGACCTTAGTTTCACTGTGGGCCACATGTGACTAACTTGGTTGATACAGACACTGATGTTCACTTTAAAATATATGCCCTTCCTTCCATGGCAATATATAGTCAATTTGCAACCCAAACTACTCCTTAGAAAGTATGTTTCCTAAAAGTACATGTCAAAATCTGGTTAAGCAATATGATGAAAAATTATATAAAAATACAACTTTGGACTTAATAAATAGATGATCTTAAATTGTTTATTACAACTTTATATTTAGAAACAAAAGATTGCATTCTCAATAATTAAACAGATAGGATTGCCCTATATACTTGAATTCCACTTTTCACACTTTTATTTGCTTTGTTAACAGTTTATAGAGTCTGAAATGTGTACCCTTCCTTCGTCTTTTGTACCTAAGAAGATGTCAGCTGTGCAGTCTTGTAGTTCTTTACATTTAATGATCTGAAATGTAAATGAAGAGAAACTTATTAGATTTTTGTAGAATATATTGTACAAATTACAAGAGCTTTTGTAAAAAAACGAAAAATTGTGGTATACCCAGTCCTGTAATTAGATTTAATGACTTGCATCCTCGTAAAGTCAAATTGATTTCAATAGAGCTCTGCATGACAGCAAGAATCTCCACTAGCAAATCTAATCACAGCACTATGGGCCAAATGTCAGAAGACATTGGAAAGTACATACAGAGCTGTAATTCAGTGGGGAAGCAGATGAATTGAAAAACGTCTTACCACATTTCTTAAAATCTATGAGTTATGAGCTCCATACTTATAATAAATTCAGTTCACAATTCTCATTCTATTAAACCTAGGAATAATGAACCAAAAAAAAATACATTCTTTAAAATTCTTAGGAGGAAAATACTTGTTTTATTTCCTCTCTGTGGAATCTCTGTTGGATATGTGAAATTTTCCTATTTACAAATATTTTTAATGAGTTCACCATAACTCTGTCTGTGAGCACACAGTGATACTTCACAATCAGTACCCCCCTTTCAATTTTGAAACCTATTTCACATATAGTTAGGGTTTTTTCCCAATAAAAACATTTCATTTGGGAAAATTAATTTTTATTCTGTTGATAAAACAATAATACAACTAGTTTGTCTTAGTTTGGCTAAAACAGGACTATTTCTCCTTTCAGGAGTTTTTCTTTCAGTTCAGTTTCTTCTAAGTAACTGCACTTTCTGAAAGTACAGTTACACGTTTTTCAGACAGTGTCTGCATTTCAAGCTTGATAACGCTCGATGTTTATAGTTGCTACTGAAGTATTCGGAGG